CCGCCACGAGGAGGCAGGTCGGACGCGTTAACAACGTCCGCCTGAATATTTGATGAAGGCCTGTCAGAGATACACAGCCCGGACGGCCTTGCCAAGCTGGTGTGTTGGGTTGAGTGTCGTCTGGGATTCTAACCGGACGACCCTCTCTGGCCAGACCTAAACTCCACCCGGATTGTAGAAGGGGGCCTCTCAGAAGATAGCAGCTCGGACAGAAACCTGGCCGAGAGCTGGTATGTTGTGAAGGGAATTGTTCCAAATTTTGGTCGGACGCCCTAGCTTCTCTTTCCCTGGTCTCTCTGGGTGGAAGACCGAGAGGATGGATTTTGTTGTGTGTTTTTCCTAGATGAGGAGGCAATTACCTCCACCACTAAGCACGCACTCCCACTAAAGTCTACGTCCGTGTCATCCACGTCCATGTCATTCGGATTAAAGGGTACTAAGGGGTTGACTCGGCTGCCGTATCGGTTTTTTGCCGCATCTCGGTCGTACGTAACTCGCGTACGCGCTACGTTCGACTGCAGGGACAGAGAAGAATAGGTGGGGGTGAGTTGATACACACTGGAAATGGAGCCACTCCAAGAAGAAGAGGAGTCGGCCCCCATCAACTCTAGACTCCTCAGTCCCAGGCGAACGGCCGACCTCATGAGGACATATAGACGAATAAGAGTTTTGTGCCAGTTCATGCTTAAAAATAAAACAAGTATACGAAAAGCAAAACTCAAAGAAGAAACAGACGGTTATCTTTGTACGAGTAGAAAACTTGAAAAATTTAAGGATTGAAGATCTTGAATGGTCAAGTCACAACACCACAAATTGACCGGCAAACTCAAGAACACGAACGGAAACCTTGAATAAACGGCGGAGCTCTCGAAGGTTAGGGAAGAAAATCACTTTCTCTCTCTAAAAGCTTTGACTTCTCTCTAGAAAACACAAAAATCCAAAGTGTTTTTATAAAGTCAAACAAGTCCTATTTATAGGCAAATTTATGGGGGCAAAATGGTAAATTACTTTCCCGCCCAAGAGACCAAACGTCTCTTTTTCGAAAAGGTTATCCTAGAAGCCCAATCGGTTATTACACCGTTCCGTCAATAAAGACGAAGAAGGTGTACGGTTATCATAACGGCTCGTCAAAATAAACAGTCAGGTCAGCGAATTTAAATCGTTGGCCCGGAGAATACGGAAGACGAGTGTCTAACCTGATGTCAGGCGACACCATCCGTCCGCCTTATTTCAAGATGTCAGTCCAAATTGAAATCAAGCGGACAGCTGAAGGCAATTAGCCCAAAAGGAAACTTCCCAAATTTAGGCGGACGGTAAAGTCCGCCCCCTTCTAACCAATTGTTCAATAACCCGGTACTCGAACATCTCTGAACGAATGAAAATCAGAGGAGGCGGCACGTATAGTACGAGCCACCCCCTCTAAGGGGCAAATGTTTGGGGTAAAAATTACCCCAACACGTGGTCTAATCCTAAGGTGACACGTGGCCCAATAAAAGGGCGACACGTGTCACAATAGGAAGATGACATGTGGCAAACACAAGAGAGCACCTGAATAGGGGGAGGCCTCCATCACATCAGGAGGCCCAATTCCCAAGAGAAGCGCTAAAACGGTGTCCCCACTTGATTGCGCCGCCAATCAGTGCACTCCTTTTTAGGGCACCAACCCTAGAATGCACACATTCCCACCCCTATAAATACCCCACTCATTAATGATGGGAGGGGTGGATTGAGACATTTCATAACAAAGGCATACAAAGTGTTCTAATTCTCTCTACTTTCTCTCTCTCTCAATATTTTCGTTTTCCGGTCACTAACTTGCTCGTCGGAGGCGAATATTCCTTTAACTGAAATATTCGTTGTTTTGCAGGTGTTTGCGGCCGTCGGAACATATTAACGACCTATATCTAGAGGGATTCCAAAAAAAAAAACCCCGAAACATCATTATTTTGGCCTTTTTTTTTATTTTTAATAAAATGACAACTTTTGCTACATTGGTACCATAATTATATTACTAACGCTAATCAGAGATGACCCAAAATAACATGCTCGCTAGCCCAACCTAATTTGGTTTGCTAAATGGCAAGTTTAGGCAGAACTATACGAGAAAAAAGCATTTCAGGCTTTTCGCATCAACTCAATTCAAGTAGCTACTTTTGGGTCGAAAGCCCATTCCAAAGGCCTGATCTCAGTAAATTGGATATGAAGTTGTAAGCCCAATATAGGCATGACCTACTCTGCAAGTTTGGCTTAAAAGATTTTATTATTTAACCAAAGTTCGACTTGACCCGGTCAACCCATGATATCTCTAATGCTAGAAGATCTCTTACATTATAATACACTAATACCTATGAATGGTAATGGGGCAGGTTGGTTGCAGATGTATATCCCCTCGTAATATTTCCACCAAAAATCTATGTTGGGTAAAAATTCTAACTTTGGTCTAGTGGAAAGGAGAAAACCTTCCAACAATGAGGTTGAAGATTCAATCTCCACTATAAACAATTTGGGGAAGAGATTCCCTTACCTTTCACTCACTCTCCTAAAATTATCTAGCCTACTAACCCGGGCTAGGTTGACCCGTAAGGGGTTTTGGCCAATTGCCCTTCTTCTTACCAAAAAAAGAAAAAAAAGGCAAATGGTGGGTAAAAACTCATACCTATCCCTATCCCACTAAGAACAAAAGTAAATCTATTATCATCCCATCCTTCCACGAGTCGTGATAGCCCGCTGCTCGAGAGCGACTATTCCTAGGGCAAAAATGTACTTGAGAGGAAAAAAAAAAAAACTCTCTTTTCGAACAATAACAGTATAAAAATCTACAATAACAATATCAAATCAACAATAACACTATATTCATAAATATAACTGTATAATTATAAAATGAAAATAATTTTGTTAATATGATAACATTTAAAGTAACTCAGCAAAAGAAATCTTATTAACTCAGATCGGATATTCAACAACTGTATACAAATCCAAAATAACATTATACAAATCAACAATAACATAATAAAAATAGCAATTACATTATTTAAATCAACAATAATTACTTATACTGCATAATTATAAATATTAATGGTCCAACATGTTTTTTGAAGATCATATATAAAGTAAATAGAGCGAATAATAAGAGTCGGAGTGAGGACGAGGATGAGGTGGGTACACCTTAAAATCCACACCCAACTCATCCAATAGTTCATTAATAAGTGATATAGCTAGGGAATTTGTTCATCATAGTTGTTCTTTTATTTATCCCCTAGTCCACAGTGAGCCTTAAGGTTCTATCCTTCTTGCCCACTAACATCAATGGAGAAGAGAAGAGCTTGAAATGTTTTGAATGATGCCTTTATCAAGCATTTCTTAAACTAATAGTTCAATCACTTCCCTTTGCTTCAATGGGTATAATGTACACCTTTATGTGGAGGAAATTCAGACAGCTCTTCCAACGCACGCACGATTATACATTTCCTTCAATGCCTAACCGTCGAATACCCAACTTCCAACGCACGATCATACATTTCCTTCAATGCCTAACCGTCGAATGCCCAGCTCCATATCGCAACTCCCCGGTGCTATACCCCAGTGCTATAAACAGTATATGGACCGCAAACTCCTTCCCTTTCACTATCCAGGATTGTCTTTTCCAAACTGAAATGATAGGCGATTCTCATCTATTACTAAGGTGGCATCAGTCCTAAAAGCTTTCTGTCAAATTATTTACCTCAAACGTAAAAAGTTGTGTTTTTTTTCGAATTGTCATCATGATCCCTTTGCAGGGATATATGCCTAGCAAATTCAATTGCCTCTGCTCTCAAGTCTCAACTACAGAAGATGGTTTTAAAGCTTTCACAAAAGACTTAATAACAAGTTTTTTAATCTACCAATGAAGTGATAAAACATTATTACTTTGCAGTTTGCACAGCATTAAATTTTCAATATAAGCTTCTAAAGAATTATGTCGTTGAAGCTTATTAGACTGCTCTACAACATTTTTGGCAGTTTCATCCTTAAATCTAGCATTCAAATCTATCACAAAAACTTTTAGCCAACAAGATTTCTCATTGTTGGATAACTAGAACCTCGTTTTTCAGCTTTGCCTACTATATAAAATGAAGCTAAATCAACTTTTTGTCATCAGGTTTTGCATAAAATATTGTATTTGAAACACTTGATAATCCAAATCATAATATTAATCCCATCAAAGTCAAGAAATTCGAGTTTGGAAGTATACCCTAAAGGTCAGGTGAATTGAACCCCTCTGCATCTGCTTGTTTCTTCAAAACAGTATTGGCTTGCATTTTTTTTTTTCACCCAAACTATCTTCGAACATCTTGTTTTAAACATCTTGCTTTGGAGCATGACCTTCCAATCTCAACTCGCTTTGATTTGCCCCTCCATAGCCACTGAATTACTTTGTTAATACTAATTTGAATCAAACTCAATGAGCAGTTCTAAAAAGAGCAGTTCTGTATCATAAATATAAGAATTGGAGTCTCTACTGTATAATAAAAAACAGAGAGAAATGGAGAGTTAGAGAACTTTAGAGATAATATCTTGAATAAATCAATTGTAGTACTTCATATTATTTAATACACAACTAGGTTAACGATTAACCACAATCAATCACTCATAACATACAATCGATTCTAGCTTACTCCCTTAATTTACGCCAACAAATTCTATTATTCAATCTGGCGGAATGACTACTAACAGAAAACTGATATTAGCGCCAAAAGTAGCCAACAATCTGAACTACAATTTGTAACAAGACTAGCTGGCTAGCTGCCGTACATCATCTTTCATTGGCTGAACCTATGCAAGCATACTTGCACAGGTTGCTGCTTGCTCAGATCACAATTAAGAGATCTTTCATACAGAGGGCATGACAACCATAAACTAGCTGGTACACCCTCATACAAAAGTGCAAATCACCATTGATTTGATCATTCCACCTTTCTGAATCTAACTTCAATATTGAAATTTCAAAATAATAGGATGAATTACTTTGTAACTTGGACATACAATATCAGGTGTTTATTTCAAAATAAAAAGATATTCAAAGAATCCTACTTCAATAATATTGTTAGAGCTTTCCAGACATACATTTACTTCACATTTTCCAAGTTAAATATAAATATATCAAGCAGTAGAGTATGAACTATGAAGAGAACGTGGAGAAGATAATTACATGCAGGTTGAATAGTAAATCAGAGATTCACTAATTCAGAGGCAATTCACTGTTCCGTCTCCTTAGGAGTGTAGTATCTCCAGATTCCCGCCAAAGCACTGCCTATAATTGAGTGACAAACACTAGAGACAGCACAAGGAACTGCAGTCAATGGATTCCCAAAATGCTGATTTGCAAGCACTAGTCCAAGAACCGAATTCTGAAAGAAAAGTTCATGATTAGTTCAGTACAATTCCATGCTATGGAATCAGGCAAAAGACTCCAGAAGCTATATACTAGTAGTAGTTGTAATAGTAGTTGACTACGATTACCACCACCACCTTTATTGAAAATTATTTGAAAGTACACTAAAAACACAGAAGCTGGCCACTCGCTATATGCAGTGTGCGTAGAAAAGCTAAAGGTTCTAATAACTAATAAACTAACCACAGCCTTTAAAGTGATCAGATTCTATTCTAACCCAATTAGAGATACAAGTTGATCCAAGATAAATGAGTACTAGCAAAGGAAACCAACTATCAAAATATTTGGAACTATATGCCAAGGAGTTTCTCTAGGGAAGCCTGCAGTGGAAATGTTGAGGCGTTTGGGAATAAGTCAATCACAATTATCATTTAGCCACCTAAGGCACTAAAGTGGCAATTTTTGTTAACAGTGTTATGCAGTGAAATAAGCAATGGTTTTGAAGCTAGTTAACACACCATTACTTTACTAGTATAATGTCCTAGAAACAGCTTTTCTATGGAGTAAGCTAATAAACAAAAAAAATCTTTGCGGTTGCTTGCCGATAATCTCTACATTGACTTTATTTAGGCAAGGCTAGGTTAATTTTTCTGCACAGTGAGCATCTCCAGAATATAAATTCTTACCTGCATTCCAACCTCTATTGATATGGTCCTAGCCGAAGTTATATCAATTCCAAGCAACCTTGCAAGCATGTAACCAAAGAAAAATCCAGATGAATGAAGTAGACAACAAGCTATCACAACTTGCACACCAGACATCATGATTGCAGAAGAACTCTGAGCAATTGCATTTCCGCAAAGAAGAGCCACAGTCCCCACAGCAACGGGTGGCATCAAAGGAGAAACAAATTTTACAAGGCCCTGGAAATACTGATTTAAAAACGCGCCAGCTAACACAGGAAGCAACACAACCTGCAAATCTAAGAGTTAAAATTTCTGAAGACACCAGAGCAATTACGTAGTACAAATTGAGCTAGGAACATAAACACAAACCTGCAGCGTTGACATCAAAAGTCCAGCTGCATCAACTGCGACATATTGTCCAGCAAGTTTAGCAGTGAGGTAGGGAGTCATGACCTGCAATATGATGCTTTAGAGAAAACTCACATGATAGATAACTTCATTTACACCAGTGACATTAGCTTTAAGGCAGGAATATAGCTTTAGTGTTCAGACAATCAGACCAGTTCTAAATAATTCATTCTAGTATTAAAATGTTCTGCTGACAACTAACATAGACATGAGCACAAGCCAACCTCAGAAAATTCTCTACTCTGAGCTGAGCATATATTGAACTCATGAATGGCTATGCAAAAGGTTTCAGTTTAATAAAAAAAAATGGGCAGGGGGTTATTTATTTTATTGACAAAGTAACTTGCATTTAGCAATAATTACAAACAGAAATCACAAAATTACCCATAACATAACATAACCAAGCACAAAAAGAGAAACATGTTCAACATAATAAAATTCCTTTTGCACCTACAACTTGTGTGTCCTTTACATTCAAAGTGTCAAAACAAGTCAAACAGGTCAGGTCAGGAACACAGAAAGGAAGAACAGGATACAAAATCCAATACTCCCTTACCTTACAAAAAAATGTACCACCCATAGCAGAGAGAAAAAGAGTATTGAGTTGACTTCTTCCTAGAATTAAGAGTTCAAAGCTCAATAAAAACACTGTATCAAGTTGAGTAAGGAAGAAGCCATAGGTGTGCAGTGTGCTATTGGTTGATTAAAGACTAGGAGCAAGTAGCAACCAAGACAGCCACCTAGGCAAGTTGCATGAAGATCCATGAAACAGTCTGCTAAGAGGAGCAAAAGAAAGAAACTGCTAACAGTGCCTAAGGGATTATAGATAACCCTCATTAGAAGATGTTAAATTTTTAATTAAAAGGCAGGGGATTGATCAAACAATTACTTCCCCAGTCTTATACTTCCTCCATTCTACTAATGTTGCAACAAAGATGAAATTACGCATCCCAAAGCACATTTTTTAAGTTTAATATCACTAATTATATAAGAATAAAATTATAAAAAGTTGATATTATGAAAATATATTACGAGACGAATCTAACAAGACCCTACATGACTATTTTTTTAACATATAAATCATAGTATGTGGTCAAACAAGAGTAATGAATAGTGCAAAAGTCTAATTGTTGCAATATTACTATAATGAAGGAAGTATTATTTTGCATACCAGTTTTTGGAATAGAGATTAAAAATAGGTAATAGAAAGAAAAGGAAAGAGGGTGCGAGGTAGGAGAGAGAAACAGAATGAGAAAGTGCGAGGTTGGAGAGAGAAAGAGAAGAAAAGTTTACTTGAAATGGCAAGCGTGGAAATAATTTGGGCCACCCAATCATTACTTTAATTGGCAAGCATGGAAATAATTTGGGATGCCCAATAACCAAAAAAGAAATGCATCAAGGTATAGGTCAAGCAACTCGGCCAGTGGGTTTCCCGCTGCCAGTCCCAAGCCTGGATAAAGGAGGAAGGTTTCGGTAGGCCAGTGACAGCCAGTAAAGAAGAAGAAGGTATAGGTCAAGCATTTGCTTTTGGGCACTACTAAAACATGTATATCCAAGATATTCCATGGTCTAATGCAAATCTATTGACAATAAAATAATTCTTCACGAGGATTGTTCAAGTATACAAGAAAATTAAGGTAAAAAGTCTAAAAATATAGTTCTAAGGTAGAATGACCTTTGTACAAACTTTTACTAGATGTCTCTTCATCTTTTGCTTCAATTTTAGGAGTTAATTTACTCATTTGTTAGAAATCAATTTTGTCTTTCGATTATCAGGTGCAAAGCTGCATATAAATCAAGTGGGATCCTCCATGAGTACATGGTATTGTTATTCTGGGAAAATTTAGCACCAATGAAAGAGTCACTATTAGTTTATGACTTTATGTTAATCTAAATTGCAATATAATTAATAAGAAATACAAGAGGTGGTAATCTACATTCTTTTTATTTCTTTAAGATCAGTAGATCAGTAGATGTAATCTATTTCTTTTTTTTTTTTTTATTTATTATGGAAATTATGGGTACGTCAAAGACCGAGAAATAGCTATCTTAATACATCGAACTTTTTCCCTTACTCCCATCGCTCGGCAGAGCCTCATTAGAGAATAAAATTGGTAATCTAACAATATGACATGACACAGTAGTGCAAAGAGCTTCACCATAGTATATGTTTGGGTGGGTAGGCATTCTCTGTGATGGTGTAATTCTCCATGATTACAAAGCATAAAGCTGGATCATTTCTATATGGGGTTTGCAATTACCAAAGTAAAGATATTAGATACGTGGAAACAATCCAGCATTATCTTGCAAAATCAGAAGAATCCACTAAAGCAAGGGAACATTATTTTCATGTATATTTAGCAACATAGAATGGAACATTTCAAGGTATAGCTAACAAATAGGAAGGGAAGTTTTAATCTAATCACCCAAATAAAAAAAATACAGTATTGGATGCATATAATCAGGACAAACCACACTAAAAGGGCAACAAATGAGTACAACAACAAGAAATGGTAATGAAGTTGCAAACCACGGCTGAAAATGTGCTTGCTGCTGTCATCAGAACTGAAAGAGCAACATTTCCACTGCAGGAAGAAACATGTTAGAAACCTACCAATTCTGGTTCTACTAATGAGTAAAATGCAAAAGTCACAGAAATCAACCTACCGGGCAATGTAGGTGACAATATTACTTGCTGTCCCTGCAGTTTTGACAGCAAACATGTAAAAGAGGAAGAAAATTAGGAACAGAAAAAATAATTTAATGTCCTATGGAAATCACTCACCACCAGGACAACAGCCAACTAATATTAAGCCAGCTGCATAATGGGATGGCAACCCTAGAAGTTTGCTGACAAAGAATCCTGACAATGGCATCACCTGCATTAGGAAAGGAGAATTTGTGCCTCAACTTCGAAACCACAATAGCAATTTTACTTATCACAAACTTGTTGGGGGGAAGGGGGGGAGATGAAAACAAAGTGCTGCAGAAGCCCTTTATGGACAGATATGTGCTACAACAGGAGGACCAAGTCATTCTATCTTATGTTGGTGGTCATTCTAATGTCGTAAAACTTATAAGTACATTATTTAGGTAAGAACACATTGCTTGTCTCAGTAATAGAAATTTTTCCTGCGCAATAAGGATTGATGCCACAAAATTCGCCAAGCAAATGCTAATGTATATACTAGGTGAAAAAAAAGAAGGATTTCTATTAACTTGTTGATGGCTATTAAGATTATCATATACTCATAAAACATTCAATTACAGAGCGATAAGTAATATATGCCAGCAAAAGATTCACTTGTTTTAGCACCTAATTCTAATCACCTGCAATAAGTCTAATAACAAACATTGAACAAAGTTTGAAGACCTCTCATATAATGCTATCTACCTTGATAAAATCCTAAATGGAGATTGAGAATGGCAACATATATAGCTCTGTTTCATATAAGGATTCCTATTAGCTCTGTTTTTCGGAACAATCACACAGATTCTCAATCCTTTTGGATTGGGGTTAGTACGGGTTTGGTTCATGTTCCAATTGCTTTCAGGTCAATTACATTTCTCTGTTATTTTCACATGTCATTTCAGGTTTCGGGTTGTCAAATAATTATGTTTAACCCCCTAAATTTTTGAGTGGGTTCAAATTGGTCAGTAATATATACAATGCATAATTTACAATCACAGCCAATACCAAAAATCTAGAAATCAAATAGAACAATAGAAGGTCTGAGATCGAAGGAAACAGACCGAGTACTGAAGACAAAAACCGGCAATCACTTCTTTAGGCATAGAAAATGCCCCACTCAAATCATCCAAAGTAAGTGTCATGCCCATACCCAACATAGTAATAGTCAAACCCCATATAGACATTTGTGGGGTGACCCAGCTGAAAGAACTCGGCTTCAAAAGTCCAATCAAGCATCCTAAAGCAACCCATATCGGAAACGCAGTCGAAAACGCATCACTGATAGCTTCAATGATCACCCTGACCGATGATTTGCTCCTTGCACTCAAGCTGTTCGACGAATTGCCGCAGAGAAGCGGAGTACATTGATTTGTCTCATTCTTAGGTTTAGGAGTAAGAAAACGTTTTTGGGTAGCAGGAAATGATATGGGGTTTCTCAAATTAGTCGGAAAATCATCAATTTGGCATCTTAATTTGAGTGAAGATGAAGTCTGCAACTTTGAGTGTTTGTTGGGAAGAGAGAGAAAATGGGTGATGGGATTTGCAATTGACGGCAAATGCTTGCTGGTGTGTGCGAAAGGATGTGCATTTGGTGCTCTTTGAACAGAAGAAAAAGAAGATTGCATCATTTTTAAGCTGATAATTGCAGTCTGTAAGAATAGTTAGAGAAGATAATAGGGCGCCAAAAATAGAGATTTGAAATTATTGAGCAGATTTTGAAATTGTGAAAGAAAGATTACTTGAGGGGTGAGAGTTTACAGGAAATGGCGGAACAATCTAACATACAGCGAAGACATATGTACAGTGATGAAGAAGACGAGATGCATAGGAAGATGACAACCAAGATCAGTACTAGACCTTGTTCGTTTTGTGAGGAGTATGAGGACGAGAAAAGTTTACCACTGACATGAACAAAAATTGTTACTTAAATTGACAAAAAGTGGTACAGAATAGCTAATTATAATCTGCGGGCACTGCATTTGATTTTTTTTTACGAAAACTCATGCTGACCCGATAAAATGGTTGATCAATTTACAAAAATGACATTCACAAATTTTTTAAAAAGGCGGGTGTACGTTACTTTTTCCGTCTCATAATACTTGGGACGTTGGGGTGAACGCTTAATTTAAGAAAACTACATAGGGGTCCATTTAAAACATTTATTTATTATATAAAAGATTCTCTTTTATATTTTTATATTATAAGAAAAAACAAAAAGAGGGGGAGGTGGGGTTAGTGAGGAATGAAAAAATGTATAATTTAATTGGGTTTTAGAGTTTGTGGTCCCAAAGAGAATATATGAAAATATTTTTTTATTAGTGATCTCATTCCATATTTAGTAATGGGTCAAGTATTTTGGGACAGACTAAAATGGTAACTGTGTCAAGTATTATGGGACGGAGAGAGTAATTTATTGTAAGATGGGTTAAAGTTATCTGAAAAGTTTTTAAAGTTACCCTTTATACTGCAAAAGTTATTATTTTTCTAATAATAAATTTTATCTTACAAAAAATTTATAATGTACTAGATTAATCATATTAGTCTTTATAGTATGTAATCATGAATGGGAAATTCTCAACAGTGACCCCCCAACTTATGCTACGCACACATGGTGACCCTCTTGAAAATCAAATATACAAAATGACCTTATTTAAGAATTTTATCCCACTTATACCCTTATTTTATTAAATAATTAATTAACATTAACTATGGTTAGATTTTTTTTATTTTTTTAAAAAAAGAAAAATTAAGAAAATTAACCCAACCACCAAAGCAGCCACCCCCAACACCACCTTCCCCACTTGCCTAGCCACCATCTCCCTTTCCGACGATGTAACCCAAGGCTCCCCCAACCGCCGACGACGCTACCTCAGCTCCACTTGACCACCGCCCAACCAAAACCCAAAACCCCGCCCATGACTCTCCTTCTCTTTCCTCCTCCTCCTACGCCACCTCCATCACACAAACACCACCTCACATTGCCCTGCTTCCTGCATTAAATTGCAGTGGCAGCGAGCACACCGTTCTACCTTCACTAATAATTGCAACCTCCCCGCATCTCCACTACAACAACCAACAACTTCGCAACCACCACCAACCTCCAAACCGCATACAACATTCCCCTGCTCCCCACATCAAATTGCAGCGGCAAACGCAGTCACACCAACCCCTCATCATCTACCCAACACCACCAGCCGCCAATTCGTCACCGTCGCCCAAACTACATCCACTATCGGGGCCTTCAAACCGTGTCGCTCCTCTTCCAATCACAACCCACGACTCCCCCCCCCCCTCTTTCTCTCTCTTCCGCAGACCCAAACCACCCTAAACACCTCCCTCCTTCTCTCTCCTTTGACAACCTAGCCCTTTCCCGTGGCTTAGGTAAGGTGGTAGGGTTAGGGTTTCGGTGAAGGAGGTGGTGGAGGTAGATGGTTGGTGGTTGTTAATTTTTAAGTGTTTTTTTTTTTTAATAAATCTAACCATAGTTAATTTTAATTAACATTTTAATGAATAAGGTTATAAGAGGGATAAAATTCTTAAATAAGATCGTTTTGTATAACTGATTTTCAAGAGGGTCACCATGTGTGCGTAGCAAAAGTTAGGGGGTCATCATTGAGAATTTCTTATCATGAATCTATAAGAAATTACCCATTAAAATAAAATTTAAACCAACGACAAATTAAAAGTTATCCTTTTATGGGTTAAAGTTACAATAAAAATGGTTAAAGTTACCATCAAACTGACCGTCTTACAATAAAATTAATGTACACCCGTCTTACACAAAATTTATTGCAATTTGATTAAAATTTTTGTTTGCCTCTCTGATTAACTGACATATCCTCATTGGATAATACGGAGTATGTTTTATAGGGCTACACAATTTTATTTTGTGTGTGTCAGTGTGTTTGAGGATAAATTAGAGTAAGACCCTGTTCACTTCACCTTAAAAAAAAATAAGTAAAAATAATTTCAGTTCAGTAAAAATAATTTCAGTTTAGTAAAATTCAGTAACTTTAAAGAAGAAATATAATAGAAAATCAATAAAAAAAAATAAATAAATACTAATAATAACTTCAGTTCAGCAAATATAATTTCAGTTTAGTAAAATTAATTTCATTTCAGTAAAAATAAAATAATTTAAGTTCAGGAAAAATAATTTCAGTTCAGTAAAAATAATTTCAGTTCAGTATAAATAAGGTGAAGTGAATGGGGCCTAAGTAACTTATGTTTGAGGGGAAAAAAATTAAGGAAACTGATTTAAGAAAAGCTAAATAAATTCATTTCACTCAAATGCACTATTCATTTAGAGGGAAGAAAACAATTTATAAAGCTTTAAAATTTTGTTTATATTGCTTAAAATTTTCAATTATTTTATATTAATGGCGATTTCTTCTATTATTGATTAAATGATGGGTTCAATGCAAGTCTATCTACTGATGGTACTTACTAGACTTGGAAACCCTGACCCCGGCCTGATGACCCGATCCATGACCCGAAATTGACCCAAAAACATTGACTCGAAAATGGCCCAAAACCCAAAATTGACTCGACCTGACCCATACCTGACCCGAAAATGAAGTTGACCCGATCCGAAGTTAACCGACCCGAAATTGAGCCGAAGTGTTTGATCTGAACAAACCCGATACTCGAAATTGACCCGAACAGACCTGATATCTGAAATATGCCGAACTAAAATTACTTTATAATTGAACTAAAAAAGTTTGGCGCCAAAAATAACTCAATTTGTTCATCTTTGACCTTAGCCAAACTCATAAACCGAATTGATAGTTCTTATTTATTTAAGTTTAATCCACAAATGGAACAACCCGAATATGACCTGACCTGATTTTGACCCTACTCAATGAATATGACCCGAACATACTTGACCCGAAAATGGTCTGACCGAAATGACCTGACCTGAAATTAACCCGACCCGAACTCGACCCGATACCTGACCTATATCATACCCGAAACCCAAAATGACCCGACCCGACTTGTACCTGACCCGAATATTAACTAACCCGAAATAACCCAACTCGAAATTGATCCGACCCGAACGACCTATCTTTCAAGTCTAGTACTTACAATGGAGAAGGTATCTTAAATGATGAGTCTTTATAATATGTTATTTGGATATGAATTATATGTATGTTCTTTAGGGTATAATATTAAAATTATTTTGTGGGTTTTAAATAATTTTGTTCAAAGTTTTTTGAATTACAAATTAAACTATGTTCTTTAAGGTGGGTAGATTACAAATTATGTCCCAAAGCAAAAAGCTCATCAATGAACAAATAAAACATACTTCACCCCAAAATCAACCAAAATCAAGCACAATCAATTCAAGGCAAATCCAACAAATATGCATCAAAGTCAACCAATCAAATCCATCCAAGTACTCATCCACCCTAATAATCGTCAAACAAAGCGAACCACAAGTTTATATGGAATTCATGACTAGTGCTTACACACTCTTCACTCTTTTATGTGGCGGATATAAAAGCATTCGATCACTCACCATCCAACCCCTTTATTGTGAACAATGCCATCCCAAACTCACAACACTCATGTGTTTAAGAAAACAAGCACTCTACCTAATAGTCGACTTGAACTTGAAATATGTCAAATTATTCTTTGCATTGATAAACGACTAATTTCACATCCATATAACTCCATGCACAAAGGTCGGAAGGTCTTTAAAGCTTGTAATGTAAGGCTAGGGTAAAAGCGTAAGAAATATTTGGGAAAATGTGAGAGTAAAGCCATACTTAAGGGAGCCAAATCCTAACAAATAACCAAGGTCAAAAACAAATAATGACCAATCATCTCCAGCACAACTCAACACAAAAATTCACCAAATAAACAATCAATCCAATCATAACAAAATTTCCCAACACTTACAACTTCACTCATAAAATTATGATAGTATAGAACTTGAGTGAATCAAACAAACTTTGAATTTTTTCTTTGAATATATATATATATATATATATATATATATATATATATATATATATATATATATTTTTTTTTTTTTTCTCTTGAGCAACCTTCAATTAGAACATTTGAACATTGAAATAAATTTTTTTTTTTCTGTTGCTCTTTTTTTCTTCTTTTTTTTTTCTTTTTGAAGTTCACTTATTCTTCCTTTTCTTTTTCTTGAACTTCTTCTTTTTTATTATGCTTTATTTTTTCAAGAAAATTCAACTTTCAAACTCATCAAAAATAAACCATAATCAAGAACAAAACAACTTCTCAAAACCCACCCACATCGTGCAAAATATAAGCAACTACAAACTCCCTCACCTCACTTACTAATAGCTCTCCCAAGCCAAGCTTGGGACTAGTAACCAATAGGGAAATAATGGCTTGTAATGTGGCTATACAACAATGAAAATTCAAGGCAACAACATGGGAAGCAAGAAGGGAACAAATGTATCTAAAATCATCTGAAGGTTACCTAAAAGAACAAATGCCTTCGTCCTCCTCAATGTACATAATAATGAGTCATACAAACATAACTTATCACTCAAAGTTAAAAACCAATACTCAACTTCATTGAAATACCAGAAACTAACACACAATTCCTAACCAAATCAACTAGTCAAGCACCAAATCCACAAATACTTAGGCAAAATTGACGCATGTTAAGATTTCAAGGCAATCAAATATCAAATCATGACCAACTAATTTACAATATTTATCATCAATAACCAAGAAACAAAACAATTTCGAAAAATTTTCATCGAGGGGCACATGGAAGCATGATATAATATTCATTGGAACGTATTTTTGTTTTTTTTTTTTATTTTTTCGAAAGCAATAAATCTAACCTAAAAAAGCAATAAAATATAGAATAATAAAGCAATAAAAAAACTAGACTAAGAAAGCAATAAAACCTAACCTAAGCACACCAAAGAAAATAAAAAGAGAAGGGAAAGAAAGAGTACATATATATGTACAAGAAATCCCCCCCTCCAAGCTAACTCA